TCAAATACTGCTTGAGTTGGAGGTACTTGCCCGAGCTCATCATCGCGAGGCGGCGGCAGGGCAGGATGTTTTTCGAGTAAGACAGCTATTTGAAATTCAATCTAAATGTGACTACATGATATTGAACAACAATCTGTAATATTGCGAGTCAAGGTGGTGATCGTTCTAATGTTCCAGGAGACTGAAGGGCAAGTGTCTTTCAAGTAGAAGACCAATAGAAGACGAAATGGAGCAGTCTACACTTTCCCTCCATGACCCTGCAAATTTGCCCTAAATTGCACCCCAAGTTTGGACTTCGTGGCGCCACCCTGCAAATTTGCGCTAATTTGCAGTGCAAATTTGCAGATGCAAATTTGGGCGACCTAATTCCCGCCACACTAACTACACATGTCATTTCAAACTATTTATTTATATTTACTTACATTTATCCTCATTTTAGAATGATTCTGCATATATAGAGTGCATTCTGCAAAAGAAACTGTGTCATTTGGACCAGAAGTGGCAGAGCTAGGTAGAAATCCTTGTTTCCACCAGAATGGATTACTAAGCATTCAATATGTGCAGACAATTTCACCACACACATGGTAAAGCTGTTTGTCTTTATTTTAAACCATGTGATATCATGTGGATTCAAGTTCAGTGTACAGAAACCTATGTTTTCCAACACTACATATGTCATTTTAGACTATTTATTTGTATTTACCTACATTTATCCCCATTTCAGAATGATCCTACAATTAAGGAGTGCATGCTGCTAAAAAAACCATGTCATTTGGACCAGAAGTGGCAGAGCTAGGTAGAAATCTTCAAGATGGATTACTAATCATTCAACATGTGCAAACAATTTTACTCCTGCATGGTAAAGTTGTTTGCATTTGCTTTTAACCATGTGATATCATGTGGATTGAAGTTCAGTATACAGAGAAACCAATGTATTCTGAGAGTGCATATGTCATTTTAGACTGTTTACTTGTATTTACCTATATTTATCCTCATTTCAGAATAATCCTGCCATTAAGGAGTGCATACTGCAAAAAAACCATGTCATTTGGACCAGATTTGGCAGAGCTACATATAAATCTTCATTTTTGGTGGACCAAGATTGATTACTAATCATTCAATATGTGCAAACAATTTCACCTCCTGCATGGTAAAGTTGTTTGCATTTGTTTCTAACTATGTGATATCATGTGGATTCAAGTTCAGTATACAGAGAAACCAATGTATTCTGAGAGTGCATATGTCATTTTAGACTGTTTACTTGTATTTACCTATATTTATCCTCATTTCAGAATAATCCTGCCATTATAGAGTGCATACTGCAAAAAAACCATGTCATTTGGACCAGATTTGGCAGAGCTACATATAAATCTTCATTTTTTGGACCAAGATTGGATTACTAATCATTCAATATGTGCAAACAATTTCACCGCCTGCATGGTAAAGTTGTTTGCTATTTTTTGACCCATGTGATATCATGTGGATTGAAGTTCAGTATACAGAAACCAATGTATTCTGAGAGTGCATTCATCAGACTGTTTACTTGTATTTACCTATATTTACCTCATTTCAGAATAATCCTGCCATTAAGGAGTGCATACTGCAAAAAAACCATGTCATTTGGACCAGATTTGGCAGAGCTACATATAAATCTTCATTTTTGGTGGACCAAGATGGATTACTAATCATTCAATATGTGCAAACAATTTCACCTGCGTGTGGTAAACTGTTTGCATTTGTTTCTAACTATGTGATATCATGTGGATTCAAGTTCAGTATACAGAAAACAACATATCCTGAGAGTACAGATGTCATTTCAGACTATTTATTTGTATTTACCTACATTTATCATCATTTCAGAATGATCCTACAATTAAGGAGTGCATACTGCAAAAAAAACCATGTCATTTGGA